TTAAGAATTTTCTCTTGCAAATTTTCATTCACATCCTTCCTACCACGAAAGCGCTGATTGAGAAGAAAGTTCAAGTTTTACCCCGATGCCCGGTTTGCTGGGCTGATTCGGAGACTATGGAGCATCTCTTTTTGACTGTCCGGTAGCTAGGGCGATTTGGGATCATGCTGGTCTAAAATCTCTAAGTCAAGGGCTATCTTGCCAAAACTTCCTCATCTTTCTTAAGAAGTTGATGTTACTATTTAATAAGCTCCATTAGAGTATGCATATTGGTGTAGCTCTTTGAAGGATGTGGAAGTCTAGAAATTGGGTTGTCTTTGAAGGGAAACAGTTCTGAGTTATGTCCTTGATCCGACAGTATCATCAACAAGTCCAAGAACGAATTGGTTTACCAGCTGCCAAATGACTTCAACGACCCCCCCAAATTGAAAGTGTGGCTGCTTCAATCCCGGGATCAGTTACTTGCATGTGGGTTGGTGCGACAAGGACTAGATCCCATTCGACGGGGGGAATAATCCTAAAAGACCAAAATGGTTCGTTTGTCTTCAATCGGGGATTCCTGATCGATTATATTGATGATCCATCAATAGTGGAACTATTAGTCCTGCGCGAGGCCATCCAGTGGTGCCTGAATTGTGGTCTCTCGCAGGTTTGATTGGAAGGGGACGCAAGGTGACCATTGATAAGGTCAATCAGCCTAATAAGCAAGATAATCTCTTTGGAGCTATTCTAGAGTAAGTTCTGTTGTTTGCTGGGAAATCATAATGGTCTCACTATACAATTTGTATTTTGTAGGTCGGAATAGAAATGGGGTAGGCCACTTGGTGGCTAGAAAATCCCTTTCTCTATACCCAATCACGTGTCGTTATTTTGATTCCATTTCCTGATTGAATACCAGAGTGTAAAGGGTGTAATATCTTTTTCAATCAATATAAGATTATCTTTTGTAAAAAAAAAAACGAGAAAAGTCTTATGCGCACGATCAGTTTAATGCTCATGGTGAAGAACAAGATTTTGTATAGGAGAGGATTCAACAAGTTGGTGATCCTGTCTCCGATATGTTTAGGTATAGAAAAGCAAATATAAAACAAGTTTAGGTCACACTGTTCAGCCACAACTTAGTTTGATATTCGCTTCCCCATGTATCAGTCACAATTTAAGTCACACTGTTCGTTGGTTTGGGCCTAACGCTCCCGCTTTGGAGTGACAATCCGCAAACCAGAACAAGAGCGCAAAAAATTCACGGATTACATTTGTTGAGGCGTGAAATTCAATTGAAATAGTCCAAGCCGTATACATTAATATGTTGTTTAGGGAGAGAGAACTGAAGGAATGTTGGAACCTCAAAATAAGAAGAGAAATCGCTAACACTATGTTTGGGAAGATGTGCAAATGGGAGGGGGTGTAAGCTTGGGAGGTAAACACAAGTTTCAAGGTGTTTACCCCTGTTTGGTTATTTTGTAACAGTAGGGAGGTGCAAAACGTGAGTGCATATTCACTATTTCAGCTTATCCTCCAAATTGGGGTGCAAGGGAAAGAAGGGAGGAAGGGGGGAGGAGGAGGGGGGTGGAGGAAATTATGATTTTTTTTAAGAGTTAATAGCATTTTATACCCCTTTATTTTTGTAAGTTAACAAATATACTTTTAACGATTATACCCTTCAACTATCAAAACATATTTTTTAGGGGAGGGAGGAATTTTTTTTCCCCACTATCATACCCTTCAACTATCAAAATATATCAAATATACCCTTCTGTTCCTATATCTGTTGTTATATGTCTGTTAGAGGGGCTTGGAAATGACTATGTTGTCCCTCTTTTATCATTTATATAAATTTTTGTTCTTTTAATTCCCCATTTATTTAGTATTCAAAAGAACCCAACGCCCCTCTACTTTCCTCTTCCATATCCCATTATGGTCACCAGAAACGGGGTAACTTTTATCTTCCATCCATCTCCAAATTGGAAGCTGCAGTGACAAGTCCATAAACCCCAATCTTGAATCAAACAATCATGGAGGATGGAGAATCTAATACTGAAATCATTGGTTGAGCATATGCAATTGACAAAACGACTAATAAAATTAAAACCCTAAATTGGTAGAAATCCCAATATATACCCTGTAGAACCCTTGTCGACATAATGGAAGTTTACAATTGACGACGCCAAGAAAAAGAACTTGCTGGCAGCCTCCAAATCCACCTGGGGTTGTCGATGATACAGTGAAAGCAACATCTATTATTGTGAAGAAGAAAAAAAACTCGCCGACTCCATCCAAATCCACTCGCCGTCGTTGCCGAGATCGAGGTCCTTGTACATCAGGTCGTCGCCGGCGGTGGGAGAGGTCAGGGACATCGAGATCTTCGTCAATCCAGATTCTTTCAGGCTGTCGCCGCTGCCACCGCCACAAATGCTGGTTTTCACTTCTTCCTCCAAAATGTCAAACAACCATTACCACCCCAACCCGCATCACTGCATCTTCCCCACTCACCACATCACCAAAGTTTGGTGACCAAACCCTTATCAGTCGATTGTGAAATCGAAGTCGCCCTTAATAATCACGCAAACCTGAACCTTTTATAGCATTTCTGATTGATTCCTTAGCCTTTTGAAATTGATTCCAACACAACCCAATCCACCTTAGTCGGAATAGAGGAGCAGTTCTGCAGTTGGACAGAGCTCGATGGAGGGAAGATGGTTCGGCGGTGCAAAGCTTGTTCAAGGTTCTGTTCGTGGGTTTCGAAGAGAATTTTATTCGTCTTAACCATTTTCAAAGCAATGTATGAATAAATGAAATATAATTATTACGTAAGATAGCCAGGTAAAAATGTCATTTTCCTTTCCTTTTAACGGTCATTGGATGAAAAATGTAACGGAAGGGTACATTTGTTACGTTATGATAGTAGAAAGGTACAAAAGTGCAAAAAAATAATAGAGGGATATGATTGTTAACTTGCAATAATAGAGGGGGTATGAAATGCTATTAACCCATTTTTTTAATTATATTACAATTACATAATAATTAATATTATTAACTTTTTCTTATAGCTATTATTAATGTAGACGTTAGTGATGACAAAAATATCCGTAACTGTGGATATCTTCCCGAATCCGACCTAAATGGGTAGGGTAAAACTTGAACCCGAAGGACTATTAGTGGGTAGGGATGGCAATGGGTCGGGTTTTGCCAAACCCAAACCCATGGGTTTATCTTTAAAAAAAATCCGGGGTAAAACCCACTGGGTTTGAAAAACTCAAACCCAACCCAACCCGTTGGGTATCCGCGGGTTCATGGGTACCCACGGGTTTTGTCGTAAAAAATTTACAATTACAAATTCTTATCAAAATTAAAGTCAAATATCAATCTCTCAATACAAATTATCCATATATAAAACACCATTCTAGAAAATTCAAGCAAATCACAAATTAACTATACAAATTGTTCAACACCAATCTAGAAAACTCAAGAAAATTGAAACAAATCACAAATTATCCATAAATAACATGTTTAATTGAAAGCTTCTTCCTTTCAATTAAGTTTCTTTACTCTCCACTCCATAACATCAACTTCATTCTACACAATTAAAAAGAAAAAATTAGACATGTCTCCACAAACATAAATAAGATTAGTTGTTTTGAATATTAAATATACCGAAAAAATTAATTATATAGGTGGGCGGGTACCCACGGGCCGGGTTTACCTAAACCCAACCCAACCCGTTGAATAGTGAACGGGTTTAAACCCAAACCTGGCCAAAAACCCGTCAACACGAATTTTACCCGCGTTGACCGGTTGGGTCGGGTGGGTACCCGTGGGTTCGGGTTTTGTTGCCATCCCTATTAGTGGGTATGGATGAAACCCGAACCCGAATATTGCGGGTAATGGGTGGACATGTTTTTCTCACTATCCAACCTGAACCCGCCCGATTATACACATGCATATGTATTTTGTCTAGAGATAATCACTATTTTTCTCTAACATATTTTGTATTAAGCATATAAATATAGTATTTTCATGAAATTGTGTTGTTTTAATTAATTTTCTTCATTCTAATGAATTATTGTGGTACTTTTCCTCTTATGTAATGTGATAATACGTGTGAATGTTAACATATTAGTTGAGGTTATAAAGAGAAATTATTACCCGTGGATACCCGAAACCCGAACGGGTATGGGCATGGTTTTGATTTTCTACCCGTTTCTTATGTGGGAATGGATATGTATAATACCCGAACTCGACCCATTGCCATCCCTAGTAGGCGTTGTTTAGGGTTGACCGTTTGACTTTGATAGCAAGTTTGTCAATGTTCGTCTAGTCAAATCGATATCTCTTGGTTGATTTGAATTTGCATTGAAAATTAGAGATAAGAAGCATTTGTGAAAAAGATAGAGATGACCAGTTTAATTGACTCAGTTTACTTGACTAAATAGTTACAACATACAGATTTGAACGTGTTTGACTAAGTTTGACCATATTCAATTTAAAGTTACGCACAAAAATCTGCTAGAATGACCAGTTACGAGTTGAGTTTCGAGGTCGCTCGACCAATGATTATTTGTGTTTTTATAATTAATTATTATTTGAGCATTATTATATAATAATTATTTTTATTATATTACAATTATTTTATTATTAATATTTAATATCAATTTTTATTTATACTATTTTGTGATAATATTTTATAAATTTAATAATTTTATTTTATAAAAATATAATTACGTACTTTTCACTCTATTTGCACTCCCTATTTTTCATCAAAACAACAATTTACATCACCACTTGCACCTCCATCAATTTATCACTCAACTTGCACTCATCAATTTATCACTCAACTACTCAACTTGCACTCATCGAACTTACACTCCTTTTGGTGTAAGCATCTCGTTGGAGATTGAGATCAGAAGTAGGAAAGGGGAAATAGAGCTTTTCAGCTTGTTCCGATAGCGAGGGATGGATTCCAAGCCCCACAGGAAATTGAAGAACTCCTAAATTCTTGTTTAGCCAATGTCAGAAATTATAAAACAATTTTCTTTAAAAAAGACACGATGGTAAAAAGAACTAACCACACATTCGATAAAATGACAAACCTCCTCGCAACACTGCTGCTCAATAAATAGTTGTACCAAAGAGTGCAGGAAGACCATTCTTAATGGAAGTCCAGTCCTAATAATAATCCTCTTACAAAGCCTTTCCTGGAAAAAACCTACCGGATTTTTAAGAGAGACCCTTTATCGTTCCATCCCAACAACAATAACAAATTCCAGCACGACATCATTCTTCAACAAATTCACCAATTGCAAAACTGACCACCTCTCGTACACCCGAATCAAGCGCCTCCAAAGAGTACTCATTTTACGCAAGGGTCTCAACCTTGCCGACGCAGATATCAGCTCTCAGGCTTTAGCCGAACCTTCCTGATCGTCTGTATCCATTGGCTCCCCACTCGCTGGGGCATCAGCGGCAGCTGGCTTCTCGTCATTACTACTTGGCTCAGCATTGGCCTTGGAATCTGCATCACCACCCTGGGGTCTCTGTTCAGGGGATGCGGTGGGTGCTTCAGGAGTAGCCGGCTTTGGTGGGGCTGGCTTTGGCTTCGTCATTATTGGCCGGCAAAACCTGGTAGTAGACAAGACGACAAATGGATATTTCTCTTCGTCTCAAAATTTGCATTCTGGAAACTATGCCGTTGATAGCTTGAAAATCAAAGTATTAATACCTGTCAAGTGCCTCGGCCTTCCTCTTCAAATCTGCCGTCAAGAGAACTGGAGTAGCATACTTGGGAAGGGAGTCCTGCTGCTGCTTCTTATCATTTAGCCATGCTTCTGCTTCAGCACATTCATTAATAACCTGCAGAGCGACGATAAAGCTGTCAAGTTGAAGCACAAGGATAGGGAAATGAATATTGCACAGTAGTGGTCCAGAAGGATAATCACACCTTTTGTTTTTCATTCATATCGATATGATCAAATTTGGTATCATTAGACAGAGCAGCTTCTCTGTAGCTGCTGACACAATGAAGAAGTTGATCAATTACAGATCCCCTCTCGGTGGACTCCTTGTACCGCTGCTCTATTGGGTCGCCTTGCTGTAACAGTTTGAACCCACTTGGTTAGAACAACTGCGAAAGAAAACCAACACTTGTCTCTTTCCTTGGACGAGAAGAAATAATAGATTACCTTCTTGAGCTCCTCAAGCTTGGCAATATAAACACCTTTGGTCTCATCTTCACCATCTTCATACAACCAGTCCTCCACCAGCTGTAGCTTGGCCAATAGTTCTTCCCTCTCCGGCTCAGTGACAAACTCTTGATACTTATCAAGGAGCTGGACCATGAACCCACAATTAGCACATACTGGTCATGATGGGAACATCCAAAAACAAATAAAGGGTGGACCAAACCAGGGGAAGTAGAAGCCTCTACCTTATTCCTCATCTCATACACATAAGCCTCAACAGCATTTTTCTTGTCTTTAGTCTCCTCCATCACCCGATCTTGCAAGGCCATTTCAAACTCCTTTTCTACTGCCTTCTGCAGATCAACTGGAGGCAATCCACCATGCACCAATTCTGATACAGGTATGTTCGATTTCTTAACTTTCCTCTTTGGAGCATCAGCCTGCCAATAGCAAAATGCCAAAGCAAGAATTAAAAAACTTTACCCAGCATGCAGAACACATCAACTAGGAAGGGATGGCATAGAGTTGTTCCAAGTTAAGTCCATATTGAAGACAAACCTTGCTATCTGTTTCCATTTGGGTAGGCTTATCACCAGCATCAGAAGCACCATTTTCGACACCAGTATTGCCTTCCTGGGCATTAGCATCCGCTTCACTTGTGCTCGGGGGCACACTATCACTTGGAACATCATCAGTGTCCATCTTGGTGACTGTCTCTTTTGAGACAGGCACTTCAATTTCTTCCTCTTCCAAAAGCTGGTAAATATAGACCACCGTCTTCCATTAAACATTATATCCCAAACGTGCTGAAAATGAATGGCAAAACTAAAGATAATACGAAGAACTTACTGTTGCAGACTCAATGGACACAATTCCATGCAGATTCAACCGAGCTTTCACCTTAACTTTGGCCCGCTCACTTTTCGTGGCCTGGAAAGGCCCAATCTGTACAAAATGACAGAACCATAAGCAAAAAGATGAAAGCTGGATTGCAGTAAAGATGACTAAGCAAGTTTCCTTACCGTATAAGAACTGATTTTAGAAGGAGCCACCAACCCATTTGTGTCCGTATATTGGACATCAACAGAAAATGTCGCCAACCGATAGAAAGTCAGAGACTTGATGCTGGGTAAGGGATTTCCCCTGGGGAACACAAGTGTGCTCTGTTGGTTATCGGCAGCGCCATTTGGAGTCTCCGGTGCTGCACCTCCTTTCCAGGTCATAGCAATTGAGAATGGGAAGCTCTCATGAACCTGCAAATAAAAGGAAGTGTCATTTGGGCATGTTATGTGCCGCAGACCACAACTGTTTACAACCCAAAAGAAAAGGTGCAAAGGTCGTTCCAACCACCAGGAACCGACATACCAGTGCTCATACCTCACAACTAGAAGCAATAAAAGAGCATTCCTAATAATCCTGATTCAAGGTAAAGCTAAAAAAAAGAGAGATTTGTTTGCTAGAGACTTAAACAACCATGGCACTTGCAGAGTTTTACCTGGAATTCTCTCACTTTGAATGTGGGGCTGAGCATGGCACACTGCAAGGCACATCCCCTAGAAACACACTCGCTCGCATTCATTGTGCGCCTGGGCTCCTTGCCAAAGAACTCCGTCAGGATCTTAAAAACAGAGGGTATACGAGATGCAGACCCAATAACCTCAACTGTATGAACATTCTCAACAGTAAGTCCAGCATCCTCAAGAGCCTTCTCCAGTGGCTTCTTCACACGATCCAATATAGGCATACTGATCTGTTCAAACTCATCTCTCTTAATGAAACCTCTCACATCTTTCTCTTCCATTAAACACTCGATATTCAAAGGTGCCTCAGGATTAGCACTGAGAACCTTCTTCAATTTCTCACAAGCAGCCCTCAACCTAAGACAAGCCCTGGCATTCTGGTAAACATCTATCTTGTACTCATCCTTGAACTTCGCAGCAAAGTGGGTGAACAGAGCTTCATCGAAGTCTCTGCCTCCGAGAGACCGGTCAAAAGCATGTGCCAGTACCTTGAGCTGCCCTTTCTTGTATCCAACAATGCACACTTGCATACTTGCATGGCCAACATCGACGAAAGCGACATTCAGTTGTTCACTTTCAGACAAGTCAGTTTTGTAAATTCCATAAGCAAGTGCAGTAGCAGTAGTTTCATGAAACAAACGAAGTGGATGCAATCCTGCAATTGTAGCAGCATCTAAGACAGCCCTTCGCTGTAGATCAGTGAAATAAACAGGAATCCCTATACAGCAGTCAACCACAGCAGCGTTGAGATTCTTCTCTGCTATCTCTTTCAAATTTGAAAGCACCATTCCCAAAACTTGAGTAGGCGTGAAGGTCCTCAGTTCGCCCAAATACCGCGCATGGATCAAAGGGAACCCATCAGGTCCTTCAGAGACGGCATAAGGCAACGATTTTAGATCTCTCTGCAATTCAGGATCATTGAACGGCCGTCCAATTAAACGCTTAATCTGACTGATAGAATTTTTGGGGTTAGTCATAGTCGTGGCAGCGCCTGCAGTACCAATGAACCTTTGCTTCTCTCCAAAGCAAACAATGGCTGGAGTCTCACGTTTCGATTCATCATTAAGAACAACATCAATCCCTCTTTGTCTTGCCACGGCAACAAGGCAGTTCTCATTTCCAAAATCAAAGCCAACCACACTCATGTTTCCCTAAACTGACAAAATTCACTGAACTAGTCAGTATTCAGGATGACGGTGTGATTGCCTGTGCAAGACAACAATAGAAATAAATCAAGTTAGACAAAGGACTTTACTCATTCAACCAATTTATGCAGCTGGAAAGCATATCATCCTAGAGCAGCATACTATCAGATCAATTAGAAGTTAGCCACCAATCAGAGTACAAGAAACAAACAAAAGTCCAGCCCTAATGAGGGCCAACATCTACAGTTTCAGCAGCTCTATGCAATGAAGCCACCAAAGCCGCCACATCCTTTCTACCCGTTAGATGTCTACCAGAAGTCTAAGTGTAAATGGGTGCCATGAGACAGTTTATACAAGTACTATGAAAGCTCATTCAGAACTTAAGATCTACATATCAGCGCATGATTTGAAAGGAAATTCCCAATCCAATAAAGGATTCTAACAGGATCTCATGTTAATGGACAAAGACAATCAAACTTTCTGGGAATCTCCAATTAACTACTTCATCAGGCAGATGGTAAGAAGAAGATGGCCCAAGCCCGCCATTCACCAAACCTACAACCTTCACAATCTGATACAACCTGCTGCATACTCACCACCGCCGACTGCCCTAATCTATCAATGAAGCAAGATCGCCAAAGCAACAAACAACCACTGAAAACAGGAGAAAAAAACAGCTTGAATTCGAAAGACTAAAAAAGGAGATCAAATTGAAAACCCCCCAAGAGAATCAAACCACCCACCAATCAGCCACTAGAGAAACCAGCAAAGAGCAATTAGATTCAGCAATGAAGCAGACGAGGAAAGAGATTCTGGGTCTCAGAGCTGAAGCAATGAATGAAACTCACAGATCTATGCGGGAGTTGACGAGAACGAGAGAGAGAGAAAGCTCGGACGATGAAACGCAAAGAGGGAACCCCGAGATTCGCTCGGAGTTGGAACAGAGACTAGACTGAATCGAATCGTCGCGCAGAGAAGAGAACGCTAGGGTTATAACGATCGTCGTACCTTTAAAGAAGGAAGGAAAGAGAGCGGAGCGGAGCGGCGAAGCAAAGGAAGGGAAGGACGTGTGTGGTTGATTCTAGAATTCTCTCTCTTACTTCTTATATTTCTTTTTCGGTTCGGTTTATTTTCTAATTCGGAAAAGTAAGCCTAGGCTGATGCCGGCGAGAACGAGAAGCTTGGAAATTGAGGTGGTCGGCCAGAGAATGCCACTTTTATGGTCCGCTTCTAGAAAGATCTAAAAAACTCGCTCGTTTGACTCTCTTCGGCCTCACTCGGTGCATTGAACCCTTTGTATATACTGTTGGGCTTTGTGGATTCTTCCAATTTGAGCCAATCATTGGGCTGGGCCCAATCTCAGATGGCCATAGGACTCCGCCAGGCGCCAACGACAGCGGATCGAGCTCGACGCTTCTTCAAAATGGCGGGAAAATCAGCCATTTCTCTCTAGGGTTCTGTTGTGTTTGGGTTTTGACTTCAGACTGAGTTCGTCACGAGCACTGTCGGGAGAGCGAAGAAGAAGTAATTTCCCCTCCGGCAAGGGGAGGTAGAACAAACATGCCGACTTACAAGATCAGGGGAATCGATGTGGATTTCCCTTACGAGGCATACGATTGCCAGCTCGTTTACATGGAGAAAGTGATCGAGTCTCTCCAAAATGTGAGTCATTCTCCCTCAAAGTTTATGCTTGCTAGATGCATTGATGCGAACCATATCGTGTGGTTGCTGGGGTGTTGAATTCGTAGGAGATTTTTTTTTTCTTCCTTGGCATGTCGGGTATTGGAGCTAATTAGGGTATTGTTCTAGTTATTGGGGTCTTACAGTCTGCTAATTATGTGTAATGTGGCAGAAATGCAATGCACTGTTGGAGAGTCCTACCGGAACTGGGAAGACCCTGTGCCTTCTCTGTGCTACATTGGCATGGAGGAAGAGTCTAGGTGGATTTTCTACTGGGAAGTCTGAGAGGAATAGTCAGAGTGTGGTTGGGACGCCCTCATCCCAGTCCAGCGGTAGCAGTCTTCCTACGATAGTGTATACTTCACGAACTCACAGCCAGCTCCGTCAAGTGATCCAAGAGTTGAAGACGAGCAGCTACAGGTCTGAACTTTTCCTTCTTTCATTGCTGATCTTGCAAGTTGCAACCGGTTTCTGGGCACGTGGTACATGTAATATTCTACCTTATTACTTCTGGTTTGCATTATATAAATGCTGCAGGCCGAAAATGGTGATATTAGGGTCTCGAGAACAGTTGTGCATTCATGAGGAAGTTCGTACACTGCGTGGAAAAGCACAGTCAAACGCTTGCCGGTTCCTTTGCAGAAAGAGTGCAAAGCGTCAGTGTGCTCATTTCTCTCAAACATCTGGTACTACAACCTGCATTCTTATTAGACTTGATTCCATATTTAGGGTAGATCTTGCAACTGAAAAATCCCAGTTGTTTGAACTTTGAATTTCGATTCCTTGAGGAGTGTTTCTATCAGTCTTTCTTTTGGATGTATGCTAGTCAATGGCAATATGGAATTCCAAGGTATTTCAACTGGTGGAGTAAGCCTTTATGAACTCTTCTGCAACGCTGTTTTCAATTTGTCCTGGTGTCATTCCAATGTTGTACGAAATTTGCATTTTCTCGTCTAAATGCATGTAAATTGACTGGCATATCCCCACTTTGATCATGAAATATTTCATAGTGAAGTAATTATATATTAATAGTAGCATGTCTATAGGTCAAGGTTCTAAGTTGCTTACATCCCACCTTTGCATTTTCTCTTTGCTATATAATGATTCCACCAGGAGCTCAGTTTGGGTTAAGACTTCACCAGGAGCTCAGTTGAACTTAGTTATACTTAGATTTCTGGTTTCTCGTGGTAATATCTGTGGTTCCTGATTAAGCCTGTTTATCTCTAGTTCCCTATTTGTTGCATGCTTATTAGGTATCAAGATGTTAGCAAGACTAAACAACACATATTGCCTGTTCTTCTTTCCTTATTGCCTTGTTGTTTGTTAATATTAGTGTTGCTGTCGTTCTTTTTTTAGTATTTTGAAATGTTTTGACCAAATTTATTTTGGGAAGATGCTGCATTCTCTAATGTTTTCTTTTGAACTTAATGATAGATTCAGAACGAGGCATAAGTGGTTAAAATAGAAGATAGTCTTTTCTGCACTGGTGGGAAGGGTCACAGACCACTTTCGACATAGATTTGGAAATTATTGTATTTATCTTTCATGAAAGTAAACGTGCAGGAAAAAGTGTTGATCACGGTCATGTCTGCCTTTTTGTAGCTTATGTAAAGCAGAATCCCCATCTCGGAGATGAACCAGTTGACATAGAGGATTTGTTAAAAATTGGGCAACAATTTGGACCGTAAGTTCCATCGACAGGTTTCTCTATGTGCTAAAATCTTGATTACCAGATGCTTGGCATCTTGAATTGGTGACTTTTTTTTTCTTTTCATTTTGCTTGTATTTCTTGCAGGTGCCCATACTATATATCAAGGGAACTCAGTAAAGTGGTTGACATATTATTTGCACCTTATAATTATCTGATTGATCCTAGCTATAGGAAATCTCTTGGGATTGATTGGGACAGCAGTGTCCTAATATTCGATGAAGCTCACAACCTGGTGAGTGCAAATTCCACATGTTCTAAAGTAGAAAAAAGTGGCAAAGTGCTGGTCAATTGAGTTGTTACAGAGAGATTTGAGGACAGAGAGGGTGTATAGCATTAATGCGAGTTCAGATTATAGCGATTTCTATTGCCATTTATCTAGTCCATCTAAAGGCCATGGCAAGAAATTGCCTATTTGGACAAAGTATTTTTTCAGAGGATGGTTAGCATATCTATCTGCATGCTTTCAGAAGCGATTGGGAAAATGTAGTTGCTTGGGTAGATCAGTCTTGAGTCTTGACTTCTTTTTCGAATTTCCGCTAGATTTCATTATATCATATATACAATTTGTGTTTCTTGTATGCATGCTTACATGATTAATCTGTTGCAGGAAGGCATATGTGCTGATGCTGCTTCATTTGACCTGCCTGCTGGGCTTCTGACGGCTTGCATTTCCGAGGCGCAATCCTGCATTGATCTTTCTATCACAAGAAGGGATACATCAAGTGATAAATCACAAAATCCCGAGAACTATGCCATTCTTAAAGGTTGATATCATAGTTGCACATCTCCAAATTCATTCTACTTCGCACTCCCATGAGTGCTTTATATTATGACAGTCCCTTATACAAGGCTATACTTCTTTGTACGTTTCAATCCCGCAGCATTGCTTCTGAAGCTTGAGAAGGGGATAGCTGATGTACCTATTGAATCCAGTGAATTGGGATTCACCAGGCCTGGGCCCTACATCTATGAATTACTTGCTAATCTGAATCTCACGCATGACACTGCAACCAAGCTCATTGATATAATTGAGGAGGCTGCTGTGCTTCTGGAGGAAGACAAACAGCAGAAATCACAAGGCACTGTCTGTCGGCTTGAAAGTATTGCTGACATCCTTAAACTAATTTTTAAAGATAAAAATAATGCCCATGCAACCTTTTACCGCGTAAGTTCTGGTTAATAAATTGTTCAGAGTTACAATGACAGCACCATTGTTGATATTTATTCTTTAGTCAGCTCATGCTGTTTGTGTTGTAATTCGATATTCTAAATTAGAATCCTATCTGTACTCTAGGTTCATGTGCGTGAAGGCCAGTCTTATGCTCCAGATGTCTTGAAAGGTAACACAATGATAAAAGGACTCCCAAATCTGCAACTCCATTGATTTTGTTGTTCAGTTTGTGCTTCAATATCTATGTTTATTGCTTATTGATTGTTTTTTAAGATTTAGAATGATATTTTCTGTACAATTTGTTTTTGACAGCCATGAGTTAAGACTTGCCCAGAAAATGACGTTGGTGTTTGTTAGGTAGTCCTGCTGTGAACTACTAGAGGGCTCTCGAAATTTCCCCCCTTCTTTTGCTTGGTTTCATGCTAGAGGGCTCTCGAAATTACAGTCGTATTCCCCACTACTTATGTTTCAATCTAAAACAGTGGGAGAGACCTTTATAGCGGGTATATAAGTGGTTCATGAAAGAACAGTCTGTTTGGCTAGTTGAAATGAGAATGTGTAAGAAATTTTTAAGCTGATTGATCATTTGCTGCGGCTTTGCAAGACATGACCGAATAGTTACGAAATGCATGGAATTGTCAAATGAAATACAGAAAATTAAGTTGGTCAGGGCACGTTATTGGAAATCCATGTCAAATATATACCTGGAAATGGTCCATGCCCCTTACGGTGAGATAAGCTGTTTTCAAAATCTTCTTTACCTATCTGTCAGGACTTTGGAATGAATCTCATATGGAGATGATAGTAGCACTTCTTTGAAATGATCTACCAGCACTGTAACATTAATGTACATTTCTGATGTTTATATTTCTGTCATATATGGAACATTATACTCTTTTAGGTAGGATTAGTGTGTTCCCGTGACATCTGCTACATAATGATTCCAAATTTCCTCATCAAAACTACAGCAACATGAACACCAATAAAAGATAATATAAATAAGAACAAAGATGATGAATTCGCTCTCACAGATTATTACTCTAGAAATAATAATTAAGAGACTCAGAAGATCATGGGTAATAAACTACATACGTTGTTGGTGTTTTGTAATGTAGGTAAAGCACCGAGAACTCTTAGCTGGTGGTGCTTTAATCCAGGCATTGCCATGGAAGAATTCTCCAAGAGGGGAGTTGGCTCCATTATTTTGACTTCTGGAACACTATCACCTATGGAGTCATTTGCTCAAGAGTTGAGATTGTAAGGTTTTTTATGTGAGTGATATCATATTGATATAAGTGTCATATTGAAACTTGTCACATTGAATTTTATCTTGCTGACTCAGGAATTTTCCTGTTCGGTTGGAGAACCCTCATGTCATATCCTCAAATCAGATCTGGGCAGGGGTTGTTGGGGTTGGCCCATCAGGGCATTCTTTCAACTCTTCCTACAGAAATCGTGATTCTGTAGAATATAAGAGAGAGCTAGGAAATGCCATTGGTAAGTAGCAAAACTAGAAATAGAAGGGATCTATTGCTCATATCAATCTGAAGTCCACACTGACAGATTTCTTTCATGTCCAGTTAATTTTGCTCGGATTGTACCTGATGGGCTTCTTGTATTCTTTCCCTCATACTACGTTCTGGACAAATCCATTGAGTGCTGGAAGAGCGTGGTAATGCATCATTAATGGTCATTCATTTGTGGAACCATAGCTATTTTCTTGAAGAATCCCTTACTAATTTTCACTTCATTTACTGCAGGATAATACTAGTTCAACAACAATATGGGAAAGAATCTCCAGGTACAAGAAGCCTGTTATAGAACCTAGACAATCATCTCTTTTCCCATCGGCAATTCAGGTAATCAATACAGTTACAGCTTCAAATGGCTCCAAGATGCAAAGTAGCTGTGACACACAATAATTACCGCTGCGTATGTACAGGATTATATGGCTAAATTGAAGGACACCTCAAGTTCTGGAGCAGTGTTTTTTGCTGTTTGTCGTGGCAAGGTATGGCTAAATTCTGAAGTTTGGACAATCAATCATGCCATGGCAACAGATGAAAAGTAGTTTTGAATTGTTTTCATACTGTTGTCCAACTATGCTTCTGAGGGTGATATCGATTGCCTTATGTTCCTAGGCAAATGTTCGTCACATGAGCTTTTCCTGGAATCCAATTGTCATGCTGTAGAAAAGGCTTGTCTTCATTTTGGAGGGTAGTAAAGTGTCTCCTTGAATTTCTTTTATTTTAAGTTAATGCTACTGAAGATGCCGGATGATAGATTGAAATACATAAATGATACCTTTTCCGCTTCAGTTAGTAGCAGGAGGGTAGGATGCTAGGTTATGTATTAAAATAGAACCAAACAGAAGAAAATCAAATGTAGAGCTGCTCAGGGAAAACTATTAATCTGAGGTTTGAAGAACTGTAAAGACAACCTTTCTCTCTCTCAGAAAATCAATTCCACTCTTCTACACAGTTCCTTACTCTCTGAATGTATTGAGCATTCTTGTATTTCAGGACCTTATAATCTTTTACAATGTAAATCACTGTAGTGGTTTTCAGTTTCTTGAACTTTTAAAATTCACTGTTGCATTGGGATTCTAGACTAAAAGACAACTTGTGTATAATGCAACTGGCAGGTAAGTGAAGGACTGGATTTTGCAGATCAAACTGGGAGGGCTGTAATAATTACAGGAGTTCCTTTTCCCATGAGGACTGACCCCAAGGTTGAGGATTATTTGCTGCTTATTTCCTCTCTACATATTGTACTTCTGCTGATTGATGTATAAGCATATGTGTGCCGTTTTGTATTTCGAAGCTACTATATTGATCAGAAAGGTGTTTATTCTATTTTGGTTCTGTAGTTCAAGCATAAGTGTGTTTTAGCATGGCTGAAACTGAAACAAATGTCTTTCATTAACTCAAATCACGCAACCCCCTGAATTCATTTTTGAAAATGTCTTGGATTGACCCGTATTCTTATGATGTCATATCTTCTTGAGGTCAGAATATGTCAAGATTTAATTGGTGGTTTAATCCATCTCACCCGAAGGAGATCTCAAATCTATTCTTTGAACTTTGAATAGTTCTATTTTATTTAGTTTTCATCTGTACAGTATAATGCTAACTAAGTAAGTTGGAACTAGGGACTAGACCGTCTTGATTTCTTCTAAGTGTGTTTGCTTTTACGTTCTTTTCAGCTGGGATTGTTTTTGTTGAGCTGAGGTCAGTTCTATAAGTAAATTTTGGTATTTTGATACGATGAAAAGTTGCTTCAACTTATGTCAGAGATATAATTTACTTAAAATAAGTTATCGTGTTATTTTTAGTTTACCATAAATCAATTGTGTTATTTTTTTACTGTGATAATTTCGTATTTGAAACTCATTTAGACTACTTTCACAAGAAGACAACCTACGACTAACTGATGTTGGAAAAGCCTGAGAAGAAAACTGGCATTGTGAATGAATATGTAAATTTAACTACAGCTGGATTGCTTTTGGTTATCCAGAAGTCATAAACTTTTGGTTTTTTCAATTGCAGTAGCTGCTCACATAACTATAGCTGCACTGTTCTGCGATGAAAGTGGAGATTGTATTATCGTTATTGCATTTCAGATGCATTTAGTTTTGAATTTTATTAGGATTTACTAGAATTACCTACAAGTTACACTTATTGGGGCATCATGATTGCATCTATATAATCCATAATTGTTGATACCAGGTTCGTTTGAAGCGAGAATTTTTGGATCAACAAGCAGCATCCTCAAGGGACAACAACAAGGTACTATCTATAGTGCATCATGACTGGTATATGTCCATGGAAGTTGTTGGCAATAAACATCATTCATTCTTTTCCATGACAGTTTTCTTTCCCCTCTTTTTGTGGACAAAGTTCCAGATTCTAACTGGGGAAGGCTGGTACGGCCAGCAAGCATCACGGGCTGTGAATCAGGCTGTTGGACGTGTAATTCGCCATCGACATGATTATGGAGCGATCATATTCTGTGATGAAAGGTTTGTTTACACTCTTCTGAAAGGTGTAACTTATTGCTTGTACCCCTCGGAATCATTACTGCCTTGTCCAGTTATCCTGTCTGTTTGAAATATTTATCTGATTCAAGTGAAGTGGGATTCTTAATCATACGCTTCACCACTTAATGAATTCTGATTCAAAATTTAGCAGTGAGGTTCAAGATTTGGTGAAAATGAACTCTGTTTTCATCCCAACTTCTTACTAAATCTTAGTTTCTTCCAGGACAATTTAGGTTAAAGCATTCTTATCTTTTTAGATTATGATGGTAGGTATTTTTTTCATTAAATCTAGATGTAGATTAACCAACCCTTTCAAATGATAAAATAAGTCTAAATAAAGAGATAAATATAAAATCAAACCTTAATTTCTTTATTACACATCTAAGTTCTTCCTTTTACGGAAAGAAAAAGGGGTCTGGTCTCTTTTTCTGAATTCAATCATGCTTCAACTAGATACATACAATTAATACTTTAGTGATTATACGTCTGAGTGCTAGCAGGTTCTCAAATGCAAATCAGCAGTCACAGATTTCACTTTGGATTAGGCCTCATCTTAAGGTATGTATATGTGGATTTTGGACTTTTGGATCCACTTCTGGCCCGGAAACTGCTGGACATGCTCAATCTTCCTTTTTTTTCAGTGTCATTCTAGATTCGGAGATGTCATTTTCACATTGAGTCGTTTTTTCCGCGATGGAGTATTTAGTAGTTCAACGATGCTGAAGTCTACGGGTAAGGTGTTCATTTCCTCGGGAAGATTCCTCGGTCTTCCCACTTAATCCTGCTTCTCAACCTATTCCTTCTGCCACAAGTTCATGTCAGTGATCCATCTTACAATTTTATGTATGGCTAACTTATGCAGAAAAAGTCACACAGATGTCGCAGCAGGTGGAAAAAGTTCAGGTGGCAGTTTTACTACCTTGGTTATCTTTTAGCAGTTTTGAGCATGAGCTTTCAAATCTGTCAGTAGTATGATGATGCATCATTTGTTTGGGAAGTGCTCCTTACGTTTGTACATCTGCAGACAATGCCTACAGATGAGAAGGCTGCCAAAATATCGTCAATGCTTCCTTTTCTTCAAGATAAAAGCTTCAGTGATTCAAGCAAATTAAAGGAGATTCTTCCAGCTAATTGTGCATCTCTTAATCCTCCCAAAAATAACCATGACTTCATATTGAAGTATTCCAAAGGTCTAATATCAAAAGAGAAACCAGTGCTTGTTCTGGGGGGAACTTCAACACAACGCGAAAAACAGGAGATGGTCAACTTGATTGGTGGATCCTCTGGTAGGGTAATCCCTAGTGGTGAGGGACTGCTGCCATGTTCTGCTAAAAAGCGTAAGGTGTCAAAAGGAGAGCTTAGTGAAGATATTAAGCAGAAGTTTATAGATGAAAAACGAGAATCAAATAAGTTTGCACCCCAAGAGAGAGTTATCTCTGATTATAGAACCCAGCAACATTCTAGTTCACCTGGGTTCCCTCAGATGGGGAAGACCGATGTTCATGCCTCAAAGAGTAATGCAGCTCATTCTAACTCGTTGCACACTGGAGACAAGGAAACAAAAGGATCTGAATTTCTAAGTCAGGTGAAATACTGGTGCATAATGCCAATTTGCAGTCTGCTGTTTGTTGTTTAAGCAGGGAATGCTTGAAAGGAAGTCTTTTTCCTTAGAAAAATTCAAGTTATTCTGCTCCTGCTTGGTGGTTCACAAGAAAAAAAATCAACTATAGTTGTGTGTTCCTGCTTGTGATGAAAAGGATAAAAGATGGCCGCATGGGTCAGTAACCATGCATTTGTTGCTGGATGGGGGCACTTTGTACTAACTATATCTGCATTCTTTTCATGTTGACCAGATACTTGCTTACACGTTTTCTCTTTTGTGACTCATGGTTTACAGGTAAAGGAAAAACTTACTGCCCCAGAATATGCTGAATTTGTCAGTTTTATGAAAGCGCTGAAATCCAAAGCCATGACAATAGGCCATGTGCTACAATCTATCATCAACTTATTCAGAGGGCCAGAGAGGGCCCAATTGCTTGAAAGGTAGGAATGACTGACTACTACCATCGAAATCTCAGAGATACTCGAGTGCTACTGGCCTATGAACATGATCCCACTAAACAAACTCCCATTGTGTACAGATTCAGAGATTTTGTCCCTTCAAAGTATCGTTCTTTGTATGAGCAGTACGTCGGAGCAAAAGATCAACTACCCTATAACCAAAGTAAGAAACTCTGCCCTTTTACGATAACTTACCTGCAATCAGGATACCCCTTTTCCCTTAGTTTGATTCCTTTTAGTTGCTGACATAAAAATACAACTCTATGTTTAGCCTTGAATCCGCCTAAACAGTAGCTTCTCCGGAGAACATTTCTACCTTTTCAAATTGGTTATAATAGCCCTATATATTACGGAACTGGTTTCAGTTGCTGTGTCAGTGTGACTGTAGGTATGTTCTTGTGAACTGAAGAGTTGCATAGAAGTGAATAATGACTGAACTTTTGTGACCATTCATTAATCTCGAATTTGGCCGCACTTGAACCTCAAGTGATGTGGTTGCATTCATTGATTACAATTTTGCCTGATGATTTTTGACGCAAGTTTTACAGCATGATCGAAGGACGGTGTAAAGTGCAGAACTGTAACAGCGCCAAGTACATAGACTTCTTGGGATGCACTCTAGTAAGTCTCACCTTGCCTTTTTGATTTATCACAAGAGTGGATACATTATTAGTTAAGCATGACTCTTAAGATCGTGTCTTGGAGAACATATCAGCATAGTTCAGCCTGTTCCTTTGGGAGGAATTTTACAATGCTATATAGTATTGGTGCTATAGTTTTTTTCCCTTTATGAAATTGTACTTTTAGCGTTATGGTACAACTTCAGATTGTACCTATACATTTTGTACAAATTCTTTTATGGTACAACTTGAACTTGTACTTTTATTTGATGGTACAACTTCAAGTTGTAAAGTTGTACCATAACATAATGATACAAATTCTTTTATGGTACAACCTAAACTTATACATTTAATGTTATAGTACAACTTTAAGTTGTACATTATAACACCGATGCTATATAGCAAAGTAGAAGTGCTCGTTCCTTTGGTGATTGTAGTGTTTTTTTTTTCTTCTGAAATCAGACTGTACTGGAGGTATGGCATCTTCCTCCTGGCATCACCAACAAGTACAGATATCTGCCCGGTATCGATGGACTTTCAATCATCGCCTTTCTCCAGAAGGTCTTAGCATTTCGGTCTTAACAATATACCAGCATCGATGATACAGATTTGTATAGTACACTCTGGTTTTATTAGTGGGAAGATTGCATATGCGATTGTCGAAAACAAACCTTCAAAATATTTGTGAATATATTGTCAATGTAGAGTTGGATTTTTGCGGGGTTCATGTTTCTCTAGTTAGCAGTGAAAAAACAAAAGGGTTGTTTCGAGGTTGAGATTCTCCAGATTGAAGTATTTAATCAATTTGCGTATTGTAATTTGATGTATTAATGAAATGTATGAATTTGAAAAATACATTGTGTGGAGGTATATGTGTGGAGGTATACATTGTAATTTGAGTATTTAATTACTCACTTGAATGATTGTCACAAATTTAACAAAAAAAAAACGACTTAATCTTGACAATACATGCATTAGTTAAATACATCGCTTGAAATCACAACCTCCAAACAAATACAAAAGACATGAGAAAACAATTTGACAACAGATTTCTTTTGTGCATGTAATTGTTTTCATCAGTATCGGCCTGTTTTACATTATAACATCACTTCTGGGACTCGGCCCCTGGCCTCTTCAACAACATCCCTCTCCCGCTGGGACACCGCCGCGCCCTCGCCGGAGCTCCTTCCCCGGCCGCCGGCCGCAACGTGACGATGAGATCCACGAAAGCGCTCAATATGAACCTGTGCGACTTCTTGTCGTTCAAGTTCAAGTAGGCGAAGAGCAGCTCCTCCATGAACTCCCAGTCAACGCTCCCTTTATCCTCCATCCTCGCCGCCACCATCTCCTGCATGGACCGCCCGAACTCGTCCTGCGGGGCCCGAGTGTACGTCAGCACGGCGATGCAGTCCTCGGGAAGCGCCTCGGCCGCGGAGTCACGGTCGTGATTGTTCCTGCCGGAGTAGGACGTCAGAGTGTTGGACATCGTCGAACCGGCCATCTCGTCGGTCGATGAGGTCGTGGTCCTCTGGCTCGACCGTGCGGTTTCATCGGCCAGGGAGGTGGATGAGGACGACCCAGCCGGTCGGGTGAATAACCGGTTGGACCGTTTGGCTGGCGGGTCAACCGAGAAGCTCTTTTTGCCACCATCATCTCTCCGTTGCAAATGATGACCGTCCGCCTCAACGGTCTTTGTTGGACGCGAATCCTTTTCTTGTTCATCGTCGTCGTCGTCGTCTTTGATGTACAGCGACCGGAAATTGTCGAAGAGGAACTGGTCCACGTCATCGAGAGTAGCTGCGGCGACGTCCTTGTTCTGGTTGCTATTGTTTGTCTCGTCGTCGCTATTGGTATCCTCTTCTTCCCGGCGGCGGGTATCGACGCCGGAGAAGGAAAGGGTCTTGACGTGCTTGCAGCCCCTGAGAATCCAGCTCTTGGGAGAAGAGAAGGAGCTGGAAGAGAAATGGAGGGCGGAATTGGCGCTTTTGATCTTGGAAAGATATCCCCGGACGGATTTGCGCAGCTTTCTGGGCATTGTTAACTTCACTTTTAGCGACCAACTCGGGAGATTTTTTTGTTTTTTAATTACTTTGGGTTGGTGGGGGAGTTAATTTGGTATAAATAAGTGAAAGGAAGTAACAGAAAGAGTAAATTTCATGCAACCTTGCACAACGTTATGGAAGGGAAGTAATGAATAAGGATTCGTAGTTTGACTGCGTTATGGAAGGTTGACGCTCGAGGTTGTTGGACAGATTTGAATACCAAAAATGAAAAAGAAGGATAGATACGAAATTAATTTGGTGGGTTTTTTTGTTTTTTGTTTTTTGTTTTGGTGCAACAGTTAAGAGACATGGCAGTAGATTAAATGTTATGTTAGGTGTGTTACATTGCATTAGTGTCAATTTTTGGGGGTTATGTTTTATGTGAATGTCATTTAATAAAAGATAAGTTATCGAGCAAAGAAGACGCAGTTTGATAATGCACCTACTTCATGTAGGATTGCGTTTTGCTTCATCAGTTAAGAGTGTTATAAGTTATAACCGTCGGTTAGTCACATGTGCAATAAAATCATTTGTCTTTGTTAAAAAAAAACACGAAGCACATTGATCGATCTATTCACTCTAGACATAATGGATCACTCGTGTAACTACGATCATGATTATTTGCAGGTGCAAGTACTAGACGACTAGGTGTGTTGCATTGAATTAGTGTAGACTTTTTGGGAGTTACATTTCTATGTGAATTTCATAAAGCGATTAAATAAAAATGTAAGTTATCGAGCAAAACATTTGTGTTTTTTACGTAGTTCGACAATTTACCTACTTCTCGTGGAATTTTTTGTGCTTCGTGAGTTAGAGTATTAAAATTTACAATCGTCGTCTAGTCATATGTGCAATAAAACCTTTTGGATTTAAGAAGCAGATAGATTGATCAATTCATTTTGAAATAATGAATCGTTCATACATCAATGATCATAATTATTTACAGGTGCTATAACCAGACGGTTATTAGTTATCCCCCAAATAATTATGCACAATGGGTATCCTCTCTCAAAGTTACTTAAAAAAACGAATCAATAAAGAACAAGGAAGTTATGATAGCATATGGTTAAGTGTGGGCAATTTTATTAGTTATCCGAATAAGCTCTTTCGAAGTGAGAGGAAGGGAATATACTCGAACAAAGTGAGAGGGCTCTTCTCGGGAAAATTAAGAAAGAGGCCAATCATCTCCTTTTCTTTGCCCTCATGATGTTTACTTTTTTACTTCTCTTCGCCTTCTGACACGAAAGACCAGATCCATCTGTTTATTGGTCACTTTTTTGTCCGAGGATAGAAATGAGACTGCTCACCATTCCATCTCCATCCCGCTAGCACACTGTACGTCTTGCCGGCACTTGACTGCCTATCCCGGGCTCCCACTCACGGGTGCTTTTGCTTTGGAGACGGTACATTCATAGAGGTTTCCTCGCTTCATTCGTCCATGAAAGCTAAAGAATTCTCAAATCTCAAGATCAAGAAGAGCAAAGGACGAGGTACGAAGTCACTCGCATTCTAATTAGAACAAGCCTTACCATTGATCTTCTCGATCCACCCTCTTGAGCAATAGCTCATAGTCTATAACATCAATGATCTAAGAATCAAACATTGATCTCATGTAACCATGCATAGATGTGTCCAACAAAACAAGCATACACAAGACAATGAGATGTCACTAGAGGGTAATTTCTTAACACTCTTAATGATATTGAACATAATACTATAATAACATATAACAGAATCATAAGCATCAATTAACTAAATCATACAAAGACAATGACATCGAATGAATAAAAAATAGATGATACAAGCATAAATTAACTTAAGCATCAATGGTAAAGATCATTGGACACAATATAGACATCATAATTAAATCATATAAAGTAATACATAAAGCATCATAGAGTCAAATCCCTAAAAAAATTGAGCTAGCTATGTATAGTAAAATAGGAAGACATCACCAACGTATTGATACATGCATCGATGGTGAAGACTCCTCGTCGAGTTCCAACAGGACTTTGCCTCCTCTCTCTATGGATTTCCAACTCGCGCCCCTGGGGCTGAGTGCTAGTAAAAAGGTGTATGTTGAAGTCTACCCTAAGCCTCTATCTATACTAGTTACGGATGGGGGTTTCTAGTTTTTTCCCTCTAAAGTTGGCCAAAACCTTCCTTGCACAACTAGAACTTGGATTTCTTTGACTTGTGGACAAAGTAACCTTGAAAAGGAATTTTCTAGAGCTTGGGCTTGAATGGTTGGTAGGGCTGCCACTGATCTCTTTGTTGGACTTGGTTGCTTGGCACACAAGCAACCTATCCTCCAAATTTGGGCGTGTTTTGACTTGTAGAACTCCATTTGGACCTCAACCAAAGTTAAACCTACTTCATTACTAGATCTCCTTGTTTTGACGGTAAAGTGAGCATCCAATGTCTAAATCCATCTTCATTTGAGCATATGATCTTGTATTCCTAGACAACTAACCATTGAGAGGGTGATAGAAGGATTCATTTAGAGTTATGTTTATGATTGAGCTGAATAGATAATGGGTTGGGTTGTGGAGAGTGAGGGACTAAGAAGAATAGGCCAGTGAACTAAATGGTTTGGGTTGCTGGGATAATTGGACAACTAAACAATTATGTTCGTTTCTTCAGTTTGGTGGTCAGGTGTGCTAGAGACTTGATTGAAGAGAAATACTTTCTTGATTCAGAATGAATTCACGTGTGCTGTTATCCACTGAAGTTCTTGAGATGTGTATGCCAAAGATCTGTATTTTGATTCTATATAGGACCTGGAGACGGTTGGCTGCTTCTTTGAACGCCGGCTAATCAATGAGTTTCCTAGAAAAACACAGAAACCAGTTACTGAACGGCGTGTGTCAGGGCAGCTAGCCCAGTCAGAAAAAGCTATTAATCGGATGGAGGAATTGCTAGGAAAGAAGAGTCCTTTAGCAGGAGTGGTTTTTAAGTAACGAAGAAGGCGATGAGTGGCTTTATCATGGGTTGTAGTGGGGGCATCAACGTACTAACTTAGTTGATATTGTGTAACAAATGTCAGGACGAGTGTTACAAAGGTACTGAAGTCGACCAATAAGGGTCCTGTAGCTGCTGTGTGCTTCAGGAGTTAATGGATCTCCTTCGGTAGCAGATAAATGAGTTGCTGGTATGGAGGGTGTTGTAGCAGGTTTTGTTGCTAAAAAACCAGTATCAGACAATAGATCCAATGTGTATTTGCGTTGGTAGAGGTGGATACCAGTGCCTGATCTTGAAACTCCCATGCCAAGGAAGTATTTGAGCTGGCCTAAGTCTTTAATAGTAAAGGCTAAGTCAAGTTCTTTTGTGACCATCAATATTTCTGGAAGATTGTTGCCAGTGGTAAATGATGAACCTCAAGCTTTGGTAAAGAAGGAATGATCATTGGATGACTTATTATAGCCCATTTTTTCAAGAGTGGTAGTCAGTTTAGAAAACCATTGTCGACTAGCTTGCTTAAGACCATACAATGATTTGGTTAATTTATAGACTTTGTTTTTGTCAACAGGCTGTACAGGGTAGCCAGGTAGAAGCTTCATATAACCTCTTCATTGAGGTCCCCATGGAGGAAAGCTGTGTTAACATCTAACTGTTCGAGGAACCAGTTGTTAATGGATGCAAGAGCTAACAAGATTCTAACTGTTGTCATTTTAACCACTTGTGAAAAAGTGTCGAGATAGTCAACCCCAGGTGTTTGTGTATATCCCTTGGCTACTAGACGAGCTTTATGCTTGTCAATCTCACCATCTGGTTTGAATTTCAGTCTAAACACCCATTTGCAACCAATAATGGGTTTATCTTTGAG